AGTAATTATGTTCTTCATCAGAATAATAAATATACTTATTAAAATCAGCTCTACATTTATGAAAAAATCAATTCTCTTTTAGATTTATTTGCTATATTTATATAGAAACACTTTTAGGTGATAATCAGATTTGATATAGATTACATTGTAAGTACAGATTTATAATGTAACCGATGTAAGAAAAAACCGATAAAAGACGTTTAGAGCAGCTCAAAAACTTGGAAAGATTAACATTTGAACTGCAAGCAAATGATGATGCCCAACAGGAAAGTTGCATGGTTGTCGGGAAGTCAAAGAATGACGATTTTTTGTTCGCAAATTACATCACAATGTGCGACACAACTGAATTTGAGTACTATGCCGCTCACATTTGAAATGCAAGCGAATGATGGTGTGCAGCAACAACGTTGCATGCGTGTTGGAAACTGTGTGTCAAAAAATTTGAGTATGCCAATTTTTGATTCAGAACTTACATCACAATTGCGACGTAATTGAAATTGAGAATATTGATTCTATCGTCTATATGTGAAATGCGAGCAAATGATGGTATGCAGCAACAACGTTGCATGCGCATCAGAAAGTCGGAGTAGGTTGATTTCTTCCCATTGTGCAACACAAATATTCATTTCATCGCATCTTTAGCTTTAAGCACATACAAGCACGAAGCGCTATCGTAGTTCGCATAATGGTAGGGCTAGATTGAAACTGTTGTAGGTGATTAAGCCTCATGGTCCAGTGATGGATGGTTTAGTAGGCGAAAGGTATCATTTGGAAGCACTTTGGAGAGCTTCCAAATGATTCCAAGTTTAAGGTTGTTATGACGATTTGCAAGCATTGCAAATCTTCAATCTCTACAACTTCGTCAAATATGAAAATTCATCTTGCTAATTGTGAACACTATGTGCGCTTTGTTGGTACTACAACTATAGAATGATTTACTCTTGCTTCATTGCAGATGGTAGCTACAACACTAATAATCCTACAGCTTTGTCATCGATGAACTTTTAATCTCATTAACAATTTAAGCATGTGATTGAAATACTGATTGCTCAGAGCATGGCAAAATCGGGATTCATTTTGAGTAAGAACTCATCTATTGATGATCGGATGAATGCAAAGATATTTCCTTGATTCAATTTAGATGAGAAGCGGATCTTTGATTCTTCGTTCGCTTCTGCCATGCATCAAACCGCTACAAACTTCAATATGTTTGATCATTCAACCTGGTAGAATTTCAACAAGTTGTTTCCTAATTGGATCATTTCATCATCCGATGTGTTTAGCAACCAATTGTTTCATACTATTATTCATAGCAAGAGATGCATATGGGCAAGCAATTGCTATCCACCGTGATTGTCATTATTGATATGGATGGTGCTTTGAATGTGTTATCACGAAGCATGTCTAACATCATTACTCATCATTCTCGTCATGGTTAGTGGAATATCTGAGAGCAGATCTCAAAAGAAAGTCTGCTATTGAGCTCTGTATGAAGGGAAGATCGGTGCTCAATCATATTGTTGCATTTGTTCCAAAAAAATCGCGGTTATTTTTATTTTTGATAGTTGTAATGCAATGCGAGATCTTTATAATCAACTGATAGACAATCATGATATGGATTATGCATAAAAATGTGGAGGTCATTCATCAATTGAACAAATTTTTGTGAAACTCTGATTAGATTGTCAAACTTCAAGATGATCCTCATCGTCTCGAAGTGCATCAAGAACTAGGGATTACTCAATTGAATACATTCTTCAGTTTTCAAGTAGATACTTGATAAATGCTACTCAATGGTTCGGTATCAGCTTCACGTTGTTCGACTGTGAATTATATGTTCGTTCGTTTCAAGAGAGTGTAAAACATGCCATCACTTTCATGTCAAATTTGATTGAAGATGAACGCAAGAAGAGTGATATTGATGCTGGCCATGAATTTCCGCACACCCTCGTGAACATTATCGACAAAAAAAGCTTTAGGCGCGACAAACTATTTGTTATATCTGCAAGTGCATCGACATTATCAAAAGTGGTTCATCGACAATGGTTACTCTCTATGCGTCTTTTACTATTCATCTTCTCCATCTTACTACTGTATTGTGTGATTCCGAGCTTAAACAGATGCAAACTCAACTTTGTTATCGATGAGATCGAATCTATTCGTCTGTTCACACTTTTTTTGCGACCGCTTCTATCTTGAGTTTCAAATGAATGTTTTGCATGTCGATGATCATCAAATACTCAAGTTTGACAAAGTTTCATTTATTGATCAATGTCATGATGTAATCATGCTTTTGATTTGGCGTCATAAATCTTTGAGAAAGGATGAGCAGTTATTTGTAGAATGAAGGTGAAATTCATGAAATTCTGTGTTATTGAAAAGCAATTCATGATCACCATCACATCATATAAGATATATCAATTCCGCTATGTTCATGATCAATGTCAGTCCAAATGATTTCATCTCACTCCTATTCATATCAAGGTGTATATTGGACCAGTATCATCATCTTGTGTTGAACGACAGCACAATGTGAAAAAGATGGTGCATTGTGTATGACCTAATTGCACCTGCTCTCGCAAGGTTGAGATGCAAGTTGTTGTGACGCATAACTCTTCAGTTCAAAAGATGATATTGACTCCAATATGCCAACTGTTCGACAATCACATCGTATCTCTATGCAAGTATCAAGATTCAGCGGTGATGCCAGAGTCATACGAGGATTAGTTGATGATCATGACGGACTGTATGGCGGGTTTGAGGCTGGGATGAACAAGGAGCTGGTATAGGAGAATGAAGAGTTTCAAGATCCAATCTCTTATTTCCTTAACTAATTTGAGTTGGTTGAACAATTGGATTATACTTTATCCCCCGATGAATCATCTGAGTAGATTCTTGATTCCATTCTCTTCCGAGAGAACAACGATGACTTATGAGTCACTTATGCTTGCCTTCTAGAATACAACAATTCTCTTTGTTGGACTGAATCCGAGTCACAAAGTACTTCTCAGACATTTCACGTCAATACATTGTTTCTTAACTACTATTGAATCGTAAATGATTGCATCTTGTTAGAAATTTGTGCTTGTTTACAAGTTTGTATGGTTCCATGTTTGTTGGAATGAATCCAAGTCATAAAGTACTTTTCAAACATTGCACCTCAATATGTTGTTCCTTAAATACTTTAAATGATTGCATCTCTGACAAGATGCAATCATTTACATCTTGTCAGAGATTTGTGCTTGTTTACAAGTTTGCCTGGCTCCGGGCTTGTTGTCTATGGTAATGATCTATCTCCTATGATCGGTATGATACATACTAGTGATTCTTTCAAATTTACCATCAAGAGAAGACGGTAAACTCAAGGTTCGACATTCAAAAAATTACCCCTGATCAGAATAGAAGGTATCTTGGAGTGATGTGTGTGAGGATTGTAGTTAGAGTGAAGAAGACGTGATAATGTGTTCTTGTTATGAGCTTCTTTTAAGGTCTAGGACTAACAAAAATGTGTGATCTCCATTGACTTAAGCAGCTGTGAGGACTACAAACTCATAAACACCTTGTACAAAGCCCTGCTTTTTTAAGTACAAAGCATCGATACCGAAATTGAAAGGCATGGACGGCTACATAGTCTTTTGCTCATTCATATAGTACGTTGTTGGAGGGCAATTTCTAAGCAAGTATTGCTCTTACTTATCTACATAAGCATTCATGTGATAAATTCATATTATAAAGACAGCCCTTTTGGTCTCATACCAAGGTGATTTGAAGCATCGAAGCTTTTCTAACCCTAGCATTATTTACAGAGTCGAAAATGTGCATAATGTCCTTGAGTGTAATACGTTAAAGAAAATCAAATGTCACTTGAGATTTTCATACAAATCAGCTCAACTCTGGAATACTCTGTAATAACCTTATACTACCTGCAAGCCCTTCTATCACTAGAAGTTTTCAGAAATGGAAGGAACGAGCTCCACTAGGTGAAAGAAAAGTTCAATCAGATGAAGCAATTCAGAAGTCACTTGAGATTTTTCATACAAATCAGGTGAACACTGTAATAACCTTATACTCAGTGCAAACACTTATATCACTAGAAATTCTCAGAAGTGGAAGCAACGACCTCCACTCCAATAAATAAATATTCAAACTGGGTTAAAGAGAAATTCAACCTGCAAAATATGAATCGAGGAGTTCGGACAAGAGACAATTTAAATACAAATCATCTTCATTTCAGAAGTTTTTTAAAATTTTATAAATATGTCAGCATCTTTAATTTCAAAAACGTACGCCTCACTGATACTCGTTCTTCCCAGACCAGTTTTAAGGTTACATGGTGTACACGGCAGATCACACAGAGCTGCTATAATTTTGTGTGTACGATGTCAGTTCGACGTTGACCCTGGTCTAGTGACTCCATTTACAAAGATGAACATTAAGAATTTGCATTTTGGATTTGAGGATTGTAATTGGCGCAAGCGTTATTTGACATCTCCTTCGTCTAATGGAACTCCAAGTACAGAGAATAACACCGGCATCATACATACACCAGACCTCGACGCTCAACATGCTTACCTCCAAGTACCAGCCATAAAACCCATTTGCAAAATATCCTGATCGTTGGTAGCACGTTGAAAACACAGTCCGAGCAACCATGCGTTATGTGTCTGACACGAAGTATTAAATACAAAATCAATATTTACTTCCGTCGACTCTCCTCGAGTACAGTACACCAAGTTCCATGAAGTTGAGTATTTGACAATGTGAGCAGAAGAAAAGGTACGACGAATTTCAAGTAGGTTTGAATTTCAAACCTCTTGGAAATTCGCAATGTCATGCTTCAGAGATAGGCTACATATACGAGATAGACTAATCATAAGACGAGACGTATAACTTGCTCTCAGCCTCGTCAGTTCACACATATATCAAATTTCACTGTAAAGTACACTCATTCAGAGCAGGGACGCAGACATGCTTCATTCCCAGGGGTACGCGGCCGCAGTGAAACAGTGGAGGGGAAATTTAATTCATTTATGAGAAAAATTGATTATGTCTACTTGGGAAGATTGATCCCGACTAACTTGGCTGGAGTGATTCGCAACAAATTGCCAGGTTTGCCTGGAACTGATCCCTTGATCAACATTGCATGCATCTCATCATCTACCTTAATAATCTCGAGTTTTCTGATTTTAGCTCGGCCTCCACCCAAGCGACCGGGCATCTTCTTACCAGGATATACACGTCCAGGGGTGGTACCAGCACCAATGGATCCAAGTTGCCTGTAACTTTTTGATCCGTGAGTCCTCTGTCCCCGGGCAAAATGCCACCTCTTGATACCACCTGTAAACCGAACGAACTTTAGCTTCAATTCACTTCTTACAAGCAAGCGCAAATGGCAGATTCATAATACCCATTGCCAATTCACGCCCGTGACAAGTAAATTCAAAAAAACGGAACAGACACAAGACTTTTGAGCATGATCAGCAGTCAGAGAATAGGGCAACTGAGAGTGAACAAGTACATGAAAGAGACACGGTGGGCAGGACTGAGACGAAAGAAACTCAGAAAAGCCTACTCCGGCTTTAAAACTCCAAAACGAAGTGAACGACAAGGATGTGAATGTGACAAATTGCACCATATCTAACCCCTAAATTCCCATCTTTAAGGTTGGATCTTTTCTTTCACTGTGCATTGGACAGAACTCGTAAATAAGGTAACGCGGCTTGATTTTTAGGTGCCGAGGTCAGGCCCACCTATGGTTTCAAAAAATTGGCCAAAGTACTTCTTGGAAACATACTTTACATTGCGATAGAGGAGGCAGCGTAAAGACCTTAGACTTGCATAAGTGCATAATACAACGAGCGTCAGCAGAGACGGAGCTAAGAAATTCAATTAGGCCAAACTGGAAATGAGCATACGTGAGATTGTTTGACAAATGACAGTGGAATCCCAACAAAAAGCAAAGCGGAAGACATGAACAACACAATATGTAGAGGAGCGGAATTAATGCAAGGCAGACGAAAACAAGACTTACCCGCAAAACCCTTTCCAATGCTGTCACCAGCAACGTCAATAAGATCTCCTTCCTTAAAGAGTTCGTCCAACTTCAATCTTTGGGCGGGTTCGAAACCATCCACACTCGTCAACCTGAACTCCTGCAAGTGCCTCATGGGAATTACGTCTACCTTCTTCAAATGCCCCATCTCCGGCTTAGTGAGCTTCCTGTCTCTCACTCTCCTGTAACCAACCTGGACAGCACTGTATCCGTCTGTGGCGTCGGTTTTAACTTGAGTGACAATGTTTCCCTCGTGAAATCCAATGACAGTGACGGGAATGGCATTTCCCTCGGGAGTGAAGTAAGTCATCATTCCCATTTTCGTCCCCATCAGCCCGACTCCGGCTTCCAACGGCCCCATGGTCACCACTCCTCGAGAAGCGCCTCCATTCGAAGACGAAGATCGAGCAAGAGTCACCGACACGACGGAGTGGAAATCCGACGAAGATTTGGCAGCTGAGAGCGGCAGCGACCCCGTTCGCAGGCCACTGAAAGCGGGAATCAGCGCGGGAGCCGAAGTCGAAGCGGACACATTCACGGCCGCGGAATTCAACGAAAGCGTGGCGAGGGACGACGATATGGAGGCCAGAGCTGCCATGGCTGCGAAGCTCTGCTTTGCTGTGCTCTGCTCGGCTCTCTGGCTCGTGGGCAATCCCTTCCTCCCTTCAGGCCCTGCGGGAGGATATTGTGCAAGTAGCCATTGCCCGAAGGCGCGCCCTCTCCTCGTTGGATCCGCTGTCTCCAGGCGCGCTTCTCTTCTCAGATAAGGCTGCTCGCATTTCTCCGCGACCGGATTACGCTTGCGCGCTTCCGGCGTTCCGGAACCTCTGACATAGCCCCGTTCTTAACTCTGGCCCCGGGTTACCCTCTGACTCACCTCAACCATCCTCGCGAGTTCCGAGTTCCTCCGGAGTTTCTGGGCCCGTTTGCACCATCGTACTTTGTACTTCTGGAGGCACCATAAAGTATTAAATTTATGCAATTACAACACAGTCTATTCATCTGAATCTGTGGGATTATCCTTCGCCCTTGAAATATTTCTGGTCGAACATGTTACGAACATTATAAAACATATTCAATGGATTTGAGTCTGTTTCGTTAGTCCTTGCCTTTGATTTATTTCCATTGAAACGTTTGATTCATTCTTTGGTATCTCGAAGTCTATATCATTATCCTTTTCCATTCAAAGACTTGATTTCTTTTTAGGTGTCAATGAGTCTTTATTCTAAATTTTTGCCCTTGAAGCATTTCCACTGAGTAAATCTATAAAGGGCTAGCCACTAAAGACTAAGTTCTTTGGCCAAGTGGTTCACTTTCGTCATCATGCAGTTGAATGGTTTTGTATTAAACTGCTCATGATGTAAGTGAGTTGCTGGCAGTTCATCTTAGAAGATCCCTTACTCAATATTGTAAAATATGTTCACTTTCTTTATTTTAACAATTTAGAAAACATCAATTGAATTTTTCAATACTGTATTCAAATTACAACATTATGAATAGATATATTTGTTCAATTTGAATATTGGAAGCAGAAATAATATTTTTTTTCTAAATTACTTTAGTTTTCAAATCTAAATTTAAACGTTTTGAACTTTTCCAACAGACGATGAAGGGGGTGTTAAATCAATTTTCCATCTTGCAAATGCAGAAAAGATCTATCTATGAATTTCGATTCAAATATAATTCTTGAATGTGTAGATCTGTCGCGAGTAGAGGACCTTAGTGGCTGACATAACATGGTCTACTCAATCAATTAGAGAGTACGGATATCTGAAACCATAGCCTACCAAATTCTTTCAATCCCAACCAGCCACTGGTACAAGTATTCTGGCTATTCAAATAGGCGAATCAAATCATGTAATTTCTGGTAAATTTTATCAATTCTTAATCGAAAAAAACGAAATATCTAATAAACAGAATAAAATTTAGAAAACTTGATCTAATTTGATTTCTAGAATGGTTTTTCTTCATCATAAAAGAAATATATTCGTATATTATTCTTAGTCATGTAATTTTGTACATAAAATAAAAAAAATATAACCAAATAATCAAAAAAGAATTACTATTCACTATAGATTTCATGATTATAAGATATATTATATTATAAAACTAATCAAATGTATTTGTTTCACAATTTTGATTTTTTTTCTAACTTTATTTTCAATAATAAATTATATAATTAAAATTAAGAAAATTTCTTACAATTATGTTTTTTATATATTTTTTTATTTTTTAAGCTTCCATATCATATACACGAAATTATTCAATTCTTTTAAGACACAAATTAATTGATAAACTATAAAAATATTCCATTTTAAAAATTAAATTTCTGGAAATTATTCAATATATAAAAAATCTGAATTAAAAACTTTTAACATCAAAAATTTCTTATATGATTGAATTATACTAAAAAAATTTCATTTTGCATTATTAAATATATATATTCAAATAAATTAAATTCATTACAAAAGAAGTTATATAGTCAAATTTTTATATTATCCAAAAATATAAAATTCTGCCACAATAAGATATACCGTAATGATTTCATACATTATTGAAATTTTGTTTTCAAATTTTCTAATACATCTCATAAAATCTAGTTGATAGATGTTTCACATAACATTTTTACATGATATGTAGTGTATTGATCTAATGAGATTCAAATCTAACTTTCCAATGTATTTCAATCAATTATAGATCTTTGATATCTTAAAAATCAAGACAATTAATATTTAAGAATATTTGGTCTTTTCATAAAATTAAATAAATATGATATAATATATTTTGATTAATTTTTATATAGGATTTAGAGGATAAAATTATAATAATAACTTAAATTTATTCTTATTCATCATTCAAATTCAAAAAATTAAATATACCCTATGCTTATTATACTTGCAGTTCAATTGTTGGTGTAGAACTCCTACAATTTCTCTTTGTTCAAGTAATTAATAAGATCAATCAGAACTACTTTTCCTATATATCTGATTCACATTTATTAGATCAAAATGACTATTTTAAGATCAAAAATTGCAATAAAATAATATAAAAAAGTTCATAAAGTTTTCACTTTCAAAGAAAAAAAATCGGAAATATCTTCAAACACATGGATGTTTATTATTAAAATATGTTTAATTTTTGAAAAAAAAATTATGAACACAATAATGTGTGCATCAGATATATTTTATTTTTTAAATCTCATCTATTATTTTGTAATATTCTTATTTCACATAAGATGAAAACTCAAATTGGATATTTAACAAATTTGAATGTAGAAACTATGTTATGTTGCAATTCTCGACTGGTAAAAAATGCTGCAAATAGAAACCATGCATCTTCACTCAATATAGATATAAGCAACATTGTCAAATTATGTCACTCTTACTTGCATATTGAGTATACCATCCCTTTAAATTAATATCAAACGCCTACTTCTGTCAGTTCAACACAACTTGATTAGTGGACAATCCCTGTGCGATGTTGGAACATATGACTGGATTAACTAAACCCTAAATCCACAAAATGTTTTGTTAATACTTATATAGATGGGTATTAAAATCCTCTTTGGTATTTAATCCGCGGAATATGTACATTTATGCTGACATCATAGCTCTATACTTTTACTATACAAATCATTGTGTAAACAGCTCTGGGTTCAATTATCGTTTCATTTCTTTGTAGTTATGATTTGGTAACAGTGCGATCGTTACACTCATCAGTAGCTGATTTTTAAATCCTGTAAAGAATAATTGCTCAAGTTCAAAAATTAATATCTGAATTAGTTGACACATTTGAAGGATAAGAATGGGCAATTTGTGGACAATTTGTTTTTCACCCGTACAATCCGATAATATTTGTCCCAAAAATGAACTGAAGAAAAACTTATCAAGATATGGCACAGTGTCATGTCAAGGGCAATCATTTGGTCGTTTCAAAATGGGAGTAAGGCCACACTTACAAGCAACAGACATAATTGACATGCTATTAGAAATCAGTCCGGAGGGCTAGCAACTTGATTTTTGTGTGTAGAGTGATAAAACTAAGAAGACTTATTCTACTTGCCAACTCCTGTAAATTGACCATGAATGTGGAAAGTGATTGCGACACGAGAATTGATTTTAAGAGATGTCAGTGCTCGATTAAACACCGGAGATTGATAAACTATGTGAAAATGTTACAAGAAGGCAAAAGTGGATCACTTCCAAGTTTAGAATCTTTCTCAGCAGAAGAAAGATGGTAGCTGACTTGTATCCCTGTTAGATGATTATTGCGTACGCTTACATGGTGCGGTAAAGTCTCACAAGAGGTGCCCTTCACGTGCACATAAGTGGTAGTCATTATCATCTTTTGTTGCTAATAGACATCGTCTCACTCTTGAGCACGTGTAAAAGAGCCTGTGAGCTCTCCAATATCTGCAAGAACCATCCAATGACAAAGCCACTGATACATTCAAAACTGATCACTCTTGAGCACATGTAAAAGAGCCTGTGAGCTCTCCATGATCTGCAAGAACCAAAACACCCAATTCCAAAGCCACTCATACAATTTAAAAGAGGTTTCATGCTTGATTGTGCTTCTTCAAATTATTATGATTCTCATTCTAGCTTCAGTGTGCTTCAGACAAGAGAAGCATCTCACGCAAACTGTTGAAGGGTTGGATATTATACCTGACCATTTCCTTCGTTCCTAAGACCCGGTCTACACCTTATAGGGGATTAACCAGAAATACATTAGCACCTGCCTTTGGAAACCTCTCTAAATGCTTCAACCTTCAAGATTCTTACTCAGCCGCTTTTCAGAAAGCCCTCCAGATATTGCAATGCACGGCAATTAAGACGGCTGGAGTTGTATGTCCATTTTGTAATCCTGGTCTATACCAAATTAGAAGTCTTCGATTTACAACAAAAGAGGAGGAACAAGAAGAAGAAGAGCATAACACAAACCCTTAAAGGAATTGAGAATCCGCTAAAAATCTTCCAGTAGTAATTAATATGCCATGGTTCTCCGTCCTTGGTATCCCCGGTCTATGGCAAGGTATCATTCTTCGATTATCACCAATAGAAGTACAAGAAGAAGAAGAATAACAAAACCTTAACGTAATTGAGACCATGACTACTGCATCAAGCAAGCTGCCTGTTGAAAACCTTCGGATGGCTGACGATTGGAAGAGAACAGACCTCTCCACGAGCGGAGACCTTGAGTCATCCATGCGGAATCTAGGCATTACTCCTGATCCAGACACAAAGAGGGCGTTTAAGAGTGTGAATGTTGCATTCTGACCTTGGAGTACGCCGCTTCGACTTCATGAATGGTCTTGTCGTACTCGTTGGTGTAGGCATACTTCCGTGAGAGGCTATCATCTATTTCAGCCAATCTTTTGGTGAGCACTACGAGATCCTTCTGAATGTTGGCCTTTTCCTCTTCTTCGACCTGTAGGATTTTCTTGATTTCATCTCTTTTTTCCCTCAATTCTTCGATGCCTGATTCAAGTTTCAGTAATTCAATCAGAATCTCTGTGCCACTGACTTGTGCCTTTCCTAAATTGCGTTTTCTGCTTCTGCTGTAATCGTGCCTCCCACCTAGCAGTGCACCATACTTACAAACATGAGCACTCTGCTCTTCTGCACTGGCACGCACGCACGGGTTACAGAACCAGGCACAAGGCTGTCGGATTTGAGATTCCTTATCCAGACAGACAGAGAGCAGTAAATTACACATGGCTGAATAGATTCCAAGGCGACCAAACTTCTGAGCAGGGGTACATGGGCCATGTACAGCATAATCAGAAGCGTCCACTATACTTTAGGACATCACAATATAGTAATAGGTGTGAAGCTTACAATGATTTATTTTGAAAGAGGACATGGTGCTCATATGAAGCAGCGTAAGAGACGTGAAGGGACTCCAGGATCACATGAATTTTAACTTCCCAAGGTCACAAAGCTCTCCAGATCTGGCTGATTTCGAAGAAGCTTAGGTCTACGACTCAAAAACCTAACAGCCATCACACAGGCACACAAGCATACAGGATGTGAACTATAGAATCGATGACACCTTCGCCACACTTGAGGTGATGCGGTGCTTGAAACTGACTTTAAGCATATCCTGCAGTTGAGGGTTGAAACATTCAGCAGCACGATTCTACATCGCATGGTTGCTTACTGTCCTCACCACAACAGTATGTGCGCCAACCAAGTCTCAGGGGAAACCCTGGCCCATGACTTCGTGTCCAACCCATGACACTACCACTGCGTCAATTTCAACTCGTCGCAGAAACTCTGTGCGTAGCCCAGAGTTACAATGTGGTGGTTGATTGCAAATGCCAACTTAGTCAACTCGTATCAAGCTTCTGGATTTTGAGTATTTGACGTAAGCGCAGTAGGGCATCATTTAACCAAGAGGACTCTTGGGGTTTCTTCGCCATGACAACGACTCTGGCCTTCAGATTATGTTCAGAGTCCACGCGATAGCTTCCGAATCTAGGTTTCGGGGTTGATTTGCACTGGTCCCGTACTTTGACCCTCCCCATGTCGATTCTCAAGCTATACATTCAGAAACTGGACATTAATAGTTAGAACTTATAATTGACCTTATGCAAACAGTATCTTCAACCCCTTTTCAAATATCAACACTGAGCTGCGGGCTCAGGGATACGAAAATAGATCCACAGGTCGAAGTCATTCGCGTCTGTACAGTGAACCGATCCTACACCATTCTTGGATCACATGAAGGGGGGGAATGAACCATCGCCATAGTTGCACGATTTCTTACACTACCCTGGCCTGACGGTGTATGTATGACAGAATCTGACAAGAGCAAGAGGATGAGGGCATCACGATGAATAAGCTCGGTGTTATAATTTTGTAGGGCAGCGCCCTTCAGTGCCATCACTTCGGCTCTCCGCACTCGATCTGCTACTAGATTTCGTCTGCCACCTTCCAGCTTCGCTTTCTCTTAAGTCGCCCTGAAATAATTTAGGCTTTAGTCTGCACGGTTTGGACTACAACTGCCAGCCTTTCAGACCTACGTTCCACGGCTCCTTCGAAACAAAACAGAACCTGCGTCATAGATCTTCCAAAACATTTACACAGTCCTCCCTGTTGTTGACACATTGACGGCACACAAAATGTTGACATCTCCGAATCCCATCTGACCAATGGCTGCATACGTACTCATAAGGAGCGGATGAACCCCGAAAGAAAATTGTCACTAGCAGGAAAGAATCTACTGCTTCAAATTTAAGTTGCGGGGTTCGACCAACTGCGCACGTCAGCACACTGCTATTTCCGACAATGGACGTGACCACGCTAATGCTAGATCTACCGTTCTGCTTCTCGTGGTACCCTCTCGCCCTCTGCTTTTCGACGTCTACCCTATCACTCCTGAGACTGACGGTTACGAGTATGGGAGAAAGGACTATTTGGAGTTCACGCATTCCCGTCACCACTACACACCCCATCGCCTGTCTAGTGGTGGTGGGCACGTAGTCGCCACCACGTCTTTCCCACCACCATACGGTCCTTGTTCCCATTATATCAGAAATTACCGGGTAATTTTCCTATTGCTTCTTACCATGATCCACAGTAAAGACCCTCTGTCCAGCAGATTTACTGCTGTGATCGTCCACATAGAGCCAATCAAACACAACGGCTTGAGATTCTCCCGTCATGGGTAGAGTAAACCGTTGTAATGACCGATTATCATGAATTGGGCAACAGTATGCAAAATTATTTCGCGAATTACCAACTAGTGGTCAAATGAAACAAAGCCCATTACAGACAAATAACAGAGTGCAAGAACGTGCATAAAGCTGCTGGTTTTCTTAAGACAGATCCATGAGTACCAAACCGACTGCAGAGATGGTATAAAGCGAAGTTATCAGCCTCAAACACTCAAAATCAAAGATAAAATCACTGACTCTCGTCAATTGGCCTGAAAACCAACTGGTCTCGTCCGACCGCCAAAAAGTAAGACGACATGAGATCCGGATTATGTCTCATCACTCTCAACTCCCAATTATGAGTGTTGCTCCCAAACCCTCTTAACGATTGGCAGCTACGAGAAAATAATGGGCTTCAATCCCAAAGAAACTAAAACAGACATTCCAGCATTCTCTACCTCTCAAATGCAAACTTGAAACCTATTCGAACCTCTTGCTTCAACTAGAGTCGCTAAAAGAAGAAAGAACCAATCAAATATTCTCAACCAAGACAGGGAATACAAAACAAGCAGTGAACGGAAACTCCGAGCTGTTCAAAAAAAGAGTACATACATTCGAAATCCTTGACAGCTGCTCGTGAATACCGGTTTGTAACATTCAGATTAGTCTACAAGGAGGGGATAAGGCCTTCTTGAAACCTCCCGTAGGTCCGAGGAACGCTGGAGCGCAAGCCATAAATAAGAGTGTCACTTGCAAAGGAACATATGGGTAGACACCATATCTAAGATGTCTGTCTACGAGGGAGTGGAACTACAGCGGATTGCGACTGCGGCTTCAAAGGAATCGGACTGGAAAAAAAAGATATCCCCAAATGGTGAGACACGTGATTTCTCGTTGATATGTCTTTCTACCGAAGGTTGCTCACCTTCAGATTTGATGTAAAGGATTCACTTAATATTAGTGTAACAAAATTCTACTTTGCCTCATACAAAGAGAATTGAGTGTCGATACCGGCATTGACTTCAAATAAGCGGAAAGGTGTACACCGTAATCCAGTGGGCAACTAGACACATGTTCTCTGCGTAGATGACTCTGGTGATCGTGGTAGCAAAAAACTTGATATGCCAACTGAATGTACGTATACACAGGATTTGATTTTTTTTATATTTCTACATTAAACTCAACTCGTTCCTAGAAAAGACAACCTCATTGCCATCCATAAACGTAGTCCAAAATGGCTACCATTGCTACTGAGATAGGATATAGAGCCAGAGCGATCAGAGCCATCCAGAAAGGGAAGGTGACGCGCACAGAAGCTAGAACACCAATTACGACGGTTGCCACGAGAATCACTAAAACCTCCGAGGAGAAATCCCATGTCAAACCTCTGTAGTAGACAACTGCCAAAAAGATGGCGAGACACATAGTGTTGTTCATGGTCACTCCTCCATAAATCTGCAAGACAAAAAGCAATTGTTACCACAATAATTATAACAACAGTCTGCACAAAATTGAAACCAGGAGACCAAGGACACAGTCAGATCGGAGTAGAGAGACGGACCTGAGAATAGGTCATGGATATGTTCTTCTTCTTCTTCTTCAAGGCGAACAACAATGATGAAATTGCTTCGCTCGAATTTGTGGCCATAGGGGTTGCTACGAAAGAAATAAAGAAAGGCGAAATGCCAGTGGTTTTGGAAAAATTCCCAATGGCTCCAACCAGGGGATCAGCCATGATTCCTGCAATCGCGGCACCAGCCATTAAATAGAGCACGGCATGGAAGATAATTTGTCCCTTCGTGGGTGGGTGCGACCCCTCTTCCTCTTCTTCGTCTTCTTCCTCATGCTGGTCGCTAAGCAATGCTGCGTATGAATTTTGAGCTTCCTGAATAGGGTAACAACAGGAGCAACAAAGTTTCAGATTCTTAAGCCAAACATGACATCATTGGAGACAAATTTTAGTGTCTAATTATACTATGAGCTTTACAAAGATATTAGACAAGACTACCCGATTTCACAGCAGTAGATCCTTCTAGTAAAATACTGACTTGAACGTGCTTAACAATAAAAAAAAGCGAGGACAATTGAAATACCTCTCTTTGGTTATGAAAAAACAAATGTGGGGTTTCAGTTTCGGCGCTTGAAGGTTCGCTTGCTTTTACGACCCTCTTTGGTTTCTCCCTGGGGAGATTAAAACTTGCGATCCACTTCTTCATACCAGTTACAAACTCTTCCTGGGACATTTTTCCATTCTCATTAATGTCCAGTTCCTTCATCCAGTCTTTCACTACCTCCTCATTCGGGACGAGACCAGATTCAATACCCAGACCTACGATTAAACCTCGAACCTCTTCTCGGGACAAATGTCGGTCGTTGTTTACGTCGAATTGATCAAACAATCTGGAATAGATCCAGGGAAGACGCATCCTAGTTAGGACAATATCGAGAAGTGTATTCTAGAGCTTCCGTGAAATCATCCCGATCAGAAGGGACATCAGAACGTAAAGGAGATAAAACTTGATGTTCTAGAAATATTTGAGACTGATGTTGCCAGCAAGATGCAATACGTGACGGTGAGAATGGCCCCCACTTCTTGCTAGCCAGTCCTCAACGCCATTTGAGGACGGTGACTCATAAGCTTCAAAATCAGGTTTAAGGCAAGGAACCACTTACCGGTACAAAACAGTCGTGTTAGGCGTTCTTCCATCTTCCTGAAGAAGACTTCCCAGTGTGTTTTTATGCGCGTAGGAAGACATTCTGTGTAACACATGGGATCGGTGCACTTTTTGCATCGCCCTATATATCCATCGTTGCTGAATCCAAGGGAAAGCCACCTACTCCAGCCAAGGGGTTGAATCAGATAGATAATAGAAAATGAGGATTTTTCGGTCATGGCAAGGTGTAAGAAATCAACTGGGCCAGCAATGAAATGTTTATCACACGTACAGACACTACTCAATTTACTGCGTCGACCAGATGACAGAAAAATACTTTCTCCAACACCTTAACCTCAGTTAAAAGCATGGAGATAACTGAGCTTAGCACTACTTGTAAGTTTCAAGTACCTGATATGTGCAGTAGCTTGCAAGTCCAATTAGAGACATTGCACAACCCACTAGCACGGCAATGCGACCTGCCTCCGCCGACCAACCAAATATAACAGGAGATTGCGCAACCAAGTACGGCAACACTGTTACCATCATAATCCACGATGACACCCTTGTCTGCTGGTCAGTGGTGACTCCAGTTTCTGCATTTTGAAAAATAGGAGTCTCGTCAGTTTCTACGAAAGATCCAGACAAGGATTGAAACGGTCGAATTCGTTAGCTGATATCTTCTTCCACCGACCACCATTTGTTGAGTCGAAACACTGGCCCTTCTTGCTTTCAAATCAGATAGGCTCCCACCAAAGCAAATTCTACCTTAGCTAGTTCAGCGGCAAAACGCTTGAATAAAACTAAGGTGAGACTTAAAGGGGAAAGAAAGGAAAAAGAAGAAAAAACAAGATCGCCATAACCAAAGTACGTCAAATCTGTGATGCTGGTTAGCTAAAAATTCTGGACCTGGAATCATCGAGCAGCTCTGGAGATCAAAAAACTCATGAGTAGAGTACCTAAACCCCAGGTTATAACCAAGATGAGATGTAAAATACCTGTTAGACTCCAGCCTTTGGTCAGTGTTCTATCTTTTGCGACCACTCTTCCTCCGTATGCCTCGACAAGATCACAGCGACCTAAAATGAGAGAGCTTCCCCATAGAAGTGTAAGCAGCATGATTGTAGATCCAGCGAGCAAACCCATGCCCACCAAGACTTGAGCTTGCGCGTCCTCCTGACTTGCTGACAAACCGGAAACTGCCAAACAGCAAAAGAAGGAGCGTGGTAAATAACACTCGAAGTACCAATTGAAAGCGCAATGGTCCTTCTAGATTATCCATTAGGGGACCCAACAGCTGTAGGCTTTAGAGCGTATGCTCAAATGTAACCTTCAGTGACAACTAACCGTAGCTCCAGATGCAGTCCACATGGTCATGGATTTCATGCAAAACCAACAACTTCTTATGAAAGAGGCTCAAAACACTGCAGGCGCAATAACCTTGCCAAAACAAAGCTACAAGAAAGCATTCGCTAAGAGAGTCGCAGTTGATCAAGTTGAGTCTGGGCGCAAAGTTACCGCAGCCAAAATATGAAAGAGCGGTTCTCCAACATAAATGTGTCCAGAGTATTGAGTTCATGACTACATTGTCTGAGCTCAGTTCTCATATAGACTTACCGAGGATGAGAAGGGCATCGGGCATGGCTCCAAGAATGGGGAGGAGAAGGCCTCCAATCAGACCGGGATTCAATACGGTGAGCAAAAGCTCGCTTCCTTCGGACAAGCATTGGGCAGCCTTCAGCAGACAGAATCCATACACTAACAGGAGGAACAAATTTCCTCCCGCAGTGGTCGAGCACGGGAAGATGCCATAATTCTCCTCGCACTCCTCCAACTCGGCTGCGCCAACGAACGGAGACTTGATGGCCTCCCATTTCGACTGCCAGAAGGAATTCTCAGAACTAGAGGACGATACCAACCGCAACCCCGAACCTTCTTCACTGAAGCCCTCATCTTTCTCAGTTATAGAAGGGGAAGAAGGCACACGCGCATGGCAAACTACGACTAAGGACAGAAAAAAGTATGTCAGAATCGAACGCCGGAACGTACAGATCCGATGTGCGTCCATCGCTACGGTCGCGAGTTCTATTCAACGAGAACACGATGGCGGTGACAAAAAAAACTACATGCAAACACTACTGCTAGCTCGACTACGCTAATGGGCGTCGCAGAGGAAGACTCAAAGAAAAGAAGGGAGTAAGGGAGGGAGGGAGGAAGGGAGGGAGGCAACGAGCGAGAAATTGAGACGATTGTGTCAGGCACCGGCTGGCGACTAATAAACGAGAGAGAGTAACTTTCGCTGCCAGGGCACCAGCAGCGCCTTCCGAACCTCGCCTCAGAACTCGGAGACAGGGCGGGCTGCTGCAGTCGCAAATCAGGCGTGGAATATAGCCTCCGGGGGTCGCTCGCGTCCCGTCTCACATCATCGCCGGGCGATCCGATTCGCCATTATCCCCCGAGGACTAGCGCCCACAGTCGTCCTCCCCTTCGCCTCCCATGGCCATGACTGGGCGCTGACTGGGCGCACGCGCTGCCTGCTCGGATGGGCCGTGCGGGTTCAGCTTGGCACTCCGGCCGAGTCCGGCTTCCGATTCTGAGATTGCGCCGGGGATTGCACAGGAGCATTGGCCTGAACAGAGCTGACGCGTCGCCTGTGCAGGCAACGCGGCAGGAGATTGAGCCCAAATGGCACTGTATCATGTTGCACCGGGAGCCACGTCCGCATAGCATCTATCAAGTGGCCCTTATGTGGACTTTGTCTACCTACTCGTCCCTCCTCGCGCTTGAATTGACCTTGGTTCGCGCCAGTAATCTTGTGCAAAAATTGATGCATTTTAGAGTTCATGTACGCTTCATGCGCCCGACATCCCCCTCGGGAACCCCTGTGATCGTTGCCGCTGTTGCAAAATAGGCAGATAGAGTTCTTCGATGCGTCGTAATACTTTTGATCTAGGACTAGTTTACTTTACTGGTATATAATATGCCCATGGTTATCCATGTTAGTCCGAGTCTATCTCAAAATACTAAAATATTATCTCTCAAGTTGATTCCTGCTCAAAGACAGGAGATTTTTTGGGGTTGTTTATATCGTTTAATGCACCAGTCTCATGTGCAAATTCAATTTTCTGCGGCATTGCAGAAGTTAAAGATGAATTTAGCTATGTTATAACAGTGTTCTCTAGATAGTAATGGTTGTCATGGTTTCGTTGCTAACAGAGTATGGGGCTACCAGAAACTCTTGTGATTGTTGCTTTTGCCAAAGTCGATAAAACTTGAGTGCTCAAATTCTGCAGCAGCTTTGTGAGAACAGAATCACGATAGAAATATATATAACGCTGGCACGTAGAGTACGAATTTCAACCAACCCATAAAAAGAAATAACGAATCCACTCACCATGACAAATTGCTACGCACTTACTTGTTTACACAAGGCGTTAAAATCCAAAAAGACAATAGTTAGTAACGCATTATCTTCATAGCAGAATTTGTTATATGTTAATATTAGAATCCATCGTTTTGTGATGTGGATATTGCGATGCGCGTATTAAAACGCATACGTGATTCGAATAATAATATACATTGTAATATAATATTAGTAAAATAAGCAAAGTTTAATATATAATATAATATGAGTAAACAAATTCTAATTCGTTTTATTTGAGAAACTATACATGTATGCATTATCCCACTATTATAATAATGGTTTGATTTGTTAAACAAAATTACATATTGCCCTTTTATTATACATGTCGGATAGGTTTTGTTAATTTTTATGCTTCCATCTATCATTTTAACTCTCTTTCATAAATATACCGACTCTTTTATATCATATACACAATCCTTCTTGTCTCTTTCTTTCTTCGTCACTACACCCCCTTTCAAAACTTCATTCTTCAGTTTGCTTACATCATTCATGCAAATGCTTTGGATGAATTGCATCGGAACATTGCTACAGGTGAATAGTTGAAACAGAATTGGAATTTATCTTCCAATCAAAGGTCAGTTAATTTCAACCCATATGATGTATTATATAGGAACTGGAGTATTATCTACGTAGTTGCTTTACATCCTAAATTTTCCCAAATCACCCCCACATCTATAGTCTACTATATAAATTAATTCATGTTAACTACAATCAACCGTGAAATCCGGGATAAAAGAGTTCTAAGTCCATAGCTTGCTCGACTCTGTCACATTCTGCCTGACAAGACTTTCAACTCAGGAAATTATTCACCTGCAAGGGCCGAATTGGACGACGCAGTGAAACCGAAGCCTCGGATCGTATGGGAGAGACCGTCGATCGATCGCACTCGAACGTGCTTTTGGTCTGACCGAGGAAAAGTCCACTTTTCTAAACTGTTCTGCACAGGACAGCACCCGCAGAGCCCCAACAGTAGAATCAAGCACCTCAAGACACTCTTGAGGATCGGCGATTGGCAGTTTCCAGTTGTTCCATCTCAGCAGATGACTTGAATGGCTGACTGTATCTTTTTCCCCCAGACTCCTTTTACTCGGCCAGTATAAATACGATCTGCTGTTACACGTGCCCGATCATGAAAGCCAGGTTTTCACCTGTCCTATTCGGACTCTTCCCTGGGCAACATTTGTAGAACAGAGTAACAATACATTCCACCACCAAATATTACAGCAACATATTGTTCTTTTCCCTCTATTGATCATGTTGTGTTCATCCTCCCAGAGAATAGGCTCATCGTGTTTCAAGAATACATACTAGCAAGAACCACCCGTTGCTATCTCTCAAAGAAATGTTATGGGACAAATGTATAATATTCCCATGATGATGCTATTGGGCCGAAGCCACACCACCAGCGAGACAAATAAATAAAAAAATGAATAGGAAGGCTTCAAGAAATGCTACAAAGTAAAAACTTAATCGTGAGCCAGGCCTTTACAGTATCACAATAAGATTACTTTCATAGAATATCATCAAGATTGTAAGGTTTACATAGAACAGGACCAAATGATGCTACACCATATGCAACACAACGTGATACCTTTGTGGCATAATATATTTTATTATCGTGCACTCTTTCTTAGATATATGTGAAACTCAAGTTCCATATAACCAGGCCTCCCTATTTACGGGAAAATAGTACTTGTACCGCAAATAACCGTAAATAAGGTCCAGGTTGTCCCGTAAATAAGGGCCTTAATAAAAGGTTTTTTATTGGCGGCACCCTAATCTATACCGGCGCTCTTGCCTGTCTTCCCTCCTTCAACTCGCCCTCCCCACCTCCCTTCTCCTCGCACTCTGTCTCGAGCACTCCTTATTACCAGCTTCGCACTCAACTCCTGTGATCCCGCTACCGGCGCTCTTGCCTGTCTTCCCTCCTTCAACTCGCCCTCCCCACCTCCCTTCTCGTCACACTCTGTCTCGAGCACGCCTTATTACCAGCTTCACACTCAACTCCCGTGCTCCCGCTATGCCGCGCGCGACGCAGCGTACGCCCTTCAACCGAGACCACCAAGTCAATTACGGACTTTCCATCGCAAGTCGGGACGCAGCCACGTCGGAGGTCATTTCAGTCAATTGTCTCTTCTGTATTCACTTTGGCCGAGAGGACACAGACACGAGCACCGCCCAGGAAGAACGGAAGCGGCGCAGAACCGAAAATATCAAGTCTTTCACTAGGCCATTTCGAACCGACAATTACGTACAGCACTTCAGCCGTCAGCACAAGGCTCGCTGGGACCAATTCAAAATACTGGCCAAGGACCAGAAGGCCAACTTTTTCCAAAGAAATGCACCAGTCATGCACAAGAACACCATACCATCGCACTTCGCCGGCAACCAGACGGCAATGCAGCTTTACATCAACAAAGCGATTGTTGACGTCATCATCGGGGACCTATTTCTCGACCAGGACGACGACAACAGGCTGCCGAACATGTGCAGGGAAAGAGCACTTAGAATCTTCGAACATATCGATCCCAACACCGTTGAAGACCCCGGATTGGCCACTACCAAATATCGAATCGACATCTCGAATCCAAAGCAATTCAATCTGGTGGCGGGATTCCTCAGCACTAGAGTTTACTTTTGCCAAGCAGAAGCTCTGGTTACCATGACGAAAGAAGTCACCGGCGTTGCGGAGATCGGCACTGCCAAGGATGAAAGAGTCGCTCAGTACGCTCGCTTTATTTTGGCGTTGAATCTGCAACATATCCACGACATCTTGGACAATAGCTGGGCATTCTCAATTGCGTTGGATATGTCCACTCACATATCGACATCTTACTTGGATATCCGCATTTGGCTCTTCTGACATGGTGAGATCCTCAACTTGCACTTGATTGGGATTCCGGTTTTCTGCAGGCATACGGCAGCAGAAGTGTACCGCCACGCTTCGGCAGTGCTGGATGTACTCTGCACTGAATGGAAGACTATGCTGATTTCAATCTCAACGGACGGCGAACCGCGAATGACCGGCCACATTGGCGGTGTGGCCACGCAATTTGAACAAGCAGCATTACTTGGCTTTTACCGCATCTGGTGTGGTTTACATCAATTGGACTTGAAGTTGCGATCGTTCTACGAAGAATTGATGGACGAACAATTTGTGTCAATGCTAACGGCAATCATTGGATACCTGCGCCGTCAACAGAACCTGATTAACGACATGGGAACGAAATGTCGCACACTCGCAGAAACAAGGTGGGAATCCATGTCAAAGGTCGCCACCTGGTTCAAAACGCACCGTGTGGCCATCTGAGAGTACCTGGAGGCGAAGAACCCGTCCTGCAAACCGCCGCATGAATGGTGGGTAGTCCTAATGTTCGTCGAAGATGTGTCCGCAGCCGCCACCGCTACCTTCAAGCAACTTCAAAAGGATGACTGTAACACTAGGGTTTAGAGAGAAGTTCACTCGAAGATAGAAACGTAAACTCTGAAGATGAGAGATACCAACAATGGTTCTCCTCTCCCTTATATAGCTCTCACCAACAAGTACAAGGTGATAAGATCTAATCCCCACCATCCATACCACTCCTAGTGGATGGATGACGTGGCGGATAACCCTAACAAGCACACGGATCGCTGACGTGGCGCACCCAACTAACACACTAACTAACACACTCAATCCTTAGCTACAAGCACACGGATTGCTGACGTGGCACTGTCAACTAACACATCCACTCTGTACCTACCAAGTGCGCGGATCGCTGACGTGGCAGCTATGACTAGTGCACACTAAAGTATCTACATCAATATTCAGAGTAACCTCTACTTTAGTTCTAACTAACTAAAGATGGTTACAAACCTCCCTCCTTTTAAGATGCAACGTCCTCGTTGCACATACGTTCAAACTCCTGAACTATCAAAGGTGCATTTGCTAAATTTTTAGCTGGTTCCCAAGTTGATTCATACGATGGATAGTCTTTCCATTGAATCAAATACTCTACTTTGGGATATTTATGACCTCGAATACGTTTCTTGAGTATCTTTTCTACCTCAAACTCCTCATGATC